GGAAAAATATTGTGTGATGATATTTGTATAATATGTATTTATTTACAAAAGAAGAGTATGTTTAAGTATGTTTCTATCAGCTATCTAGTCCCCATAGTGCAAGCTTCGCTTAGTTTGGGACTAGAGAACGTTGTGTAAAACTGTGTCCTAAATATTTAAAAAAAAACTACGTCCATTTATTCATTTATTTATTTATTTGTAGCATCACAAAGCAGAATGACAACGTATTTAAATAATAATACAAAGACAATATTATTACATTCAGTTGACATTCCAAGTATGCGACGACAGCAAGTTATATAAGAAAAAAAAGTAAATTGATGGTACATACTATAAAAGTGACATAGAATAAATATTTCTGACAAAACATAATAAAAAACTTAAAACTAATAAATATATAGCTAAGATAGCATATTGGAGAACAATATCATGAAGCATTTAAGGCTGCTTTCAATCTACGTTTAAATGTGAACAGATCATCACCCAAAATATCCAGCTCAGGATGTTCGTTCGTTCGTTCTATTTATTCCCTTTTTAACAATGCTAGGCGCATCGAGTGTGCATTCTTTACAGCATGCATTCTTTCTGAATATTTGTAACAGGAGATGTCAACATTGCGCATATTTTTTAAATTAATTTTTTGTCCTTGTCTGTGCACGTAAGTTCAGAAGTTATGTTAAAGTCCTAATCAATCAATAAATGTTGTACGATAAAAATTGAACAGTGAATTTGAAAATAACTTTCATCTTATATATCCAATAACCATCAATATTTGAATAATTAATTAAGCTCTCATCTTATAATCATAATATAATGTAATTCATTTTTTTTTAATTTCCTTTTGTCTATCAGTCAAATATATTTTTTTTAATATTTATATTAATACCCTGCTTTTTCTATATGTTCCTTCACTCTTTTTAAAATTGTTAGATTTTTTTAAATGGCTTTCTTTAAACATCCATCAAAATTAATCTGTGTCCGTAACAATTTTCGTACTAATAAATTTAAGGACCACGAAAACTTTTAAATTACACACCCATTGAAAGTTCTCCAGAGCAATCCACTGAATTGCGTTCGCATACTTAATACCCCAAGTGCTTTGAGAAAAGAGAATTAATTCAATCAAAACTTACCCTCCTTGCCTCATTATCCAACATGATGAATGGAAATTCAATAACTACATTGCTTATCTCATAATATTTGTCTATTTCATTTGTAAAAAAAAAAATAATTTAGATAAAAGACGTTGAGATTTTCGTCGGTGTGGCAATCAGTATTTAGCTTATTGGCTAAACCGCAAATCCCGTAGACGTGGGTTCGATTCTCACAGCGGCGAAAAACATTTCGTACTTTCGTTATTATTTCTAAAAATATGCAGTTTTCCTCACGATGTTTTCCTTCACCGCTGAGCACGCGATAAGTCAACACTTAAAATTAACAATTTCGTAAGTGCCGGCACCGGGAAACGGACTAAAGTTACTCGAGTATATTAAATTAAAGGCGAGTGCGCGGACACTGAGCTATCATGGCTCTAATAAAGTAAAGTTATATTTTTTAATTAACTCCCATAACTATTGTTAACATGAGACTTGATAATGATATAATGATAACTCGATATTCTTTTCCCAAATGGATAGATCTTGATTGGTTATAAACATTTGTTCCTTATTTTAAGAGTTTTAATACTGTCTTTTTCCATCTTACGAGTAATCAAAACTCAGACGTTCAAGACATATATATATATATATATATATGTATACTTTTACGGCGATCTGCCAGATTTTAAAATCGTTAACGTTTTAAACAACCAGAGCATTCTTAATTTAATTTAATTGTATCTCTTACATCGGTAAGTGTTACAACCTACAGTCTTTAATATAAGAGTTTAAGAGTAACTCCTACACAATCCTGAACCATGCTAAGATCTATTCTGAAATAAAAGAAATATAGAATTCATTTTATTCTGACCTGAGTAAGATATTAAAAAAAAATCCAGTATTCAATATATATAAATAATAGCAAAATACGGGACGTTCCTATGAACACAATAAAATCTATCCTTGTATACAGAAATAATTTGACAGTGGTTCTTGTTTAGCTTATTAAAATGGCCGATAACCGAAAGCTGCAAAGCAAACAAAGCATCAGTGAATAAAATAAACCCCGGACGTGTTTTATTTTTTATTTAATGGAAATGCCTCGTGTTGGTGTTCCCCATTCAAAATATTTTATTTAAATTACACAGAAGATAGCAGAAATTTAATAATTTTTTTTTTGTTTTATTTTTTATCCATAACTCTTTAATAATTCAAAGCTCAGTTCCTTTTTATGCGAGTACTCCTGTTTCGTTGGAAATTGAGGAACTTATTTGGTATAAAATTTGTTATTAATTTTAGCCAAAATACTTAATTCCAATTAAAAAATATATTTCGTTCCAAATAAGTGTCGAAAATTTCGTTGAAATTAACGTAATTCCATTTTGTATGGAACAAAATTCCAGATTAGCTACATAGAACAAAAGTTATATAAACATGTGTATGTAAAAATACAAAGTATGTAAAATATCTCAATAATATCTTTTTATTCGAGGATCGTGAGGCCAATACCAATAACTTAGCATCATACGCAAATAGTTTACTCCGTACCAAGATCGTGAAAACATCTTTGCAACATGTTCCGCTGATGTATTGCTCAATTATTAGCTGTTTAATTGAAGTAAACTCAACGACACGACTGAACGACGATTAGCGGATTTTTATAACTACTTAATTTTAAAACGTATACTTGCGTAATAATTGTGCATTTGTCGTAGGCAACAGCGGGTCAATGAGAAATGGAAATTTAAAACAGCGTGAAATGAAAAATAATAAAGTTTTTATTTTTTACTTGGATTCGAATTCAAATTCAAAATATCTTTAATCAAATAGACGCTTGCGCGTTCTTATGAAACGCCGAATTTTACATAAATAATTGGTACAAGTTCGTAAGTAAGTTAACACCGGTTCGGAAGGCAGTGTCTGTTGAGAAGAGACGGCAAGAAACTCAACAGTTACTCTTTTTATTTTTTTTTAAATATCAAATTACAATATAACATAGATATAATATTCTTTTATTAGGTTTAATAATATGGTACTTTAAAGCAATGGCTTGGGTATTTAAGGTGTACTTCTTGATGTATCAAATTTTTTACAATGTTATCAGAGGGTTTAGGTGAAACGTAGCTTAATTTTTCGTTAGCATAAATTTAAATTGAAATCGTCGAAAATTTTCAACGCAGCCCGGCTAAAGTTTATGATCAATTTTTGTTTTAGCGCTAATCTGCACTCTAGATTAAACATTAATATGACTTTGTTAGTTGTCGAAAAGTTTGGTGCTATGAGGAATCGACCCCGCGGCTGTGGGGTAACGCGTCATTCACCTCTTATTCCTCTTATGGACAAGACATTTCTCTTGTCTATAAGAGCAATGTTAGTGTGTTTGTACTCTCTATATATTGTTTTCTGCATAAAACATAACGTAAGCTTACAATCTATCGTCATCCATTACACCCGACTAATGAGCGGTGGAGCATAATGTTTGTGGTTAGCTTATGGCATTCGGATGCTGATAACCTATGATATTGTGGACCTCTATATTAACTAACTACACATAAATCATTGTAAGGGTAACGCTTGCCATTTTCGCACTCATGTATTACGACATGAGATCATACTGATGCGAAATAATTTTTGTTAGAATAGTTCTTTTTTCATTTAAGAAAATAATCATGAAGTAACAAAAATACAAATGATTGTTAATAATTTGTATGTTTCAGATTAGTCATCCGTGATTGACTTTTATCCTCCACACTCATAGGTTAGTCAGATTACAGAAATACAATATGTAAAGACAGACCGTGAAACTACGGACCGTGTTGTCATGAGCATATTCTACAAAGCTACAGTATCCCGCCTGCCTGTAAGACGATCTATATATACTCTTCAAAATGGATCTTCAAATATACTAGCGTTGTTTAATGGATTGTATAAAAATGTGAATGCATAATACGACACTTATAAACGAAGTCATATTAACATAATATTTATGTATGCCTAAAGCTAAGGATAGTTTCTAAAAGGCGTTATTATTTGCAACGCATGTTTTCATGTACAACTAGCCGCTGCCCGCGACTACGTCTGCGTAGAATAGGCTGCAGGCGTAACATTCAGACAAAGACATATATATACATAAAAAAATGTATATAAATTATAGCCTATGTCTTATTTTGATGTATATAATAATATATATTGTAAAGTTTCATTAGAATCCATTCAGTAGTATTTGCGTGAAAGAGTAACAAACATCCATCCATACATACAAAGTTTCGCCTTTATAATATTAGTAAGGATGAGGAATTAAATAATTTGATAACATAACATTTAATGTTCATTTCTAAAAAAAATAGGTATTCAAAATTCATTGCTTATTGCGAGAGATATAAGTCACTCGAGCAACAAGACCCATTGTTTAAACAAAGCTAACTTCGATGCTTCTTAGATCCCCTCTCCGTATATAATGTTAGAGCTAAGCGTAATTCCCATTGTCCCTTTCTGTGAATTTGGCTACAAAAGTGTAAGAATGTCTTCGAATCTCCATGTAATGAATTATTTATTTTATACCGGAAAATTTTGTTGTTGTGTTTTAATTTCAAGCGATTTAAACGCTTAACTAATTCCTCGTTTACATATTAGCTCATATATATCTGACGTTTTTTGAATACTTCATTTATACCGTAAAAAACAATATTTCTATAATGGGAAATAAATAGAAATGAATAGAAAAACTTTCTATTATGAAAAGTATTTTTTTTTCGATAACAAAGAACACAACATCCGTAACAGTCGATCATAAATTTTAAATCCCGATAAGATATACCAATACATTGTTACTTGTACACAATTTATTAATAACAAAGTAGAAAAAGTTATAACATATTATCTGATTTAATACATATCGAGTTAACCAAAATGGCTAATTGGTATTTGAGGCCTTATTTTTACTTTTTCCTTATGAGGGGATCTGTAATCAGAAAAATAAATTATCATATTATTATATATTTATTATATTAAGTTCATTTATCATTCGATTGTATTTTAAAATCAATCTATGCCGATGAAGCACATATTTATCTTTCTGTATATACCTTAAATAGACTAAAATGCTAACGTTTTTAAAACAAAAAAATCGCTTTAGTAAACAAACATACTTACACATCAGCATGTTTGTCCCACGTAATATAATTTTCTATAAAATCAAAACCACGTTTTTTTGGCGGTTGTTCGCATATACTGCCTTTTCGTCTAAAAATATAATATTCAGAATTATTAATAATGTTAAAAAAAATTGCTATGTTTAAGTTAAGTTATGAAATAAGTTTTTCGGCAGTTTTTAGTTTTTCACTGCCACAATACTATAAGAGCCTTCCCATTTGTACAACGATAGAAGCTCTTGAATCGTCTCGTTTGATCGTCATTTGTCTTTCGTTTGGATACAATAATCATTTAGTTCTATTTTGATAGTACGCTAAGCTATCACTTTGAGTTTAACATTGAGTGGAACAGTCACTAAAAGCTTCTGAGAATAGTGTTTTGCTTAGCAATAGTTCAGCTTTAGCCACGTTAAAAAACTAGAGCGTGAACAAAAAGTATTTGTTTTGAATCTTCCGATGTAGTGTTTTTTTTGGATATAGATTAAGCAGGTACCGATTAATAAGTGTGAACAACAACGATCGGATAATAACGTTTGGTTTATAAATCAAACGATTCAAAAACCAAACGTTACCGACGCGACGTAAGGATAGGCTCTCTTTTTGAAATCCTACGAGTCAGGAGGGTTTTAAGAGCAACTTTATACGTTAAGATAACCACGATCAATCCACTCACCGAACAAAAGGCAAATATATAGATACATTAAATTCACACCGGTATTGTAAGAGACCGCTCTAGTCCCTCAGTCGAATCTTACATTCGTGACATTAAAGATTGCCATCGGAGCTTGCTATACTTTCCTGGCTTATCCATAGGTCCCTAAATTTGTATCAGTCTTATATTAAATGTCCTTCTATGGTCTACAAGTGTAAAAAATGAAAAAACCTTTGATCAGGGTTCAAAACGCAGTATATGAAAGCGGCGTTGCACTGCGTGCTGGTGAACAGGTAAGGGCCCTCGCACTTGGAATCGCGGTTCACCCGGAACACAGACGCTACCCCGATCAGGACCTCATGCCCGCCGACCCAGGTCACTAGTGGTCCCCCGTGATCGTTCTGAAATATTTCAAAGAGTGTTGACCTTAAACAATCATTTAAGAATGGACACGCCACAGCGTATATGTATTACGGTAAAACTGCATTGTTATCGATTAATGTAAACCATTTTGTACATAAAGTTGGAAATGAAATTATGTGAAATTGGCATTTATCATGCAATAGTCTGAGAGCTCGTCGAAACCAACAGAGCTACGGGTGGCTTTGAGTGTACTCGTTAGATAACCTCTCACACCTCGCCCTTCCTCGATAACTAAACACGCAAGCTGGAAGGAACTTTCTTCTTTCCTTTCAAAACCAGCCTTTCAAAAGACTATGTCGGACATAAAGCTTTACATATTCCTTAATTCTTAACATCAACCAAAAAATGGAAAAGATAAGAGAATTAGCAATTCCATCTAATAAGCGGCCCAAATGATTAAATTTGAATTCTTAAAAAAATGGTCATAAACTATCAGTAATTTTATCAATTGGTCAATACTTTTACACCAATTGATAAAATTACCATCAGAAAAATTTTGGCGGTTCAAAATCCTAGAGGTTATATCTAAAATTATTTCGATTGATCACAAAATGGTCGCAATTGGATGGTTGGGATTAATTTTGATAATTGGTTAATGTTATCTAAGTAAAAAATAATATTTATAAGTTAACTTCTGATACCTCAAAATAATAATCCTCAAAATCATATTAATCACATTACTCATCATCACATTAATCACATCACATTAATCCATAAAAAACCTCAAAATAATAATTTTGCAATATCAGACAAGATCCTAGAAAGTTACTAAATACACACACTGGTCAGAACTGGTCAGAAGCTTACAGAATCCTCAAAATCATATTAATCACAGACTCATCATCACATTAATCCATAAAAAACCTCAAAATAATAATTTTGCAATATCAGACAAGATCCTAGAAAGTTACTAAATACACACACTGGTCAGAAGTTTACAATATCTTTAAACAGAAAAAAAATAATCACAAAGTTTTTAACTTTCAAGGGCGCCCGTTTAATCATTGCACCTCAATTTGATCGGAATAACCGCTTTCAAAGAAAAAAATCATTGTTTCAACAATGATCATTCGGGCCGCTCATTAAATGGGCTGGAAATTAGCAGTACGAGGTGAAAAACTAATGTTTCAATGATCAAATTAACTGCAATGTAACAAAATTGACGGCTGTTCTATCTCCCCGGTTACGGTTAATGCATTTCCATGTGCAGTCCCCTTTTCCACACAAAAAAATGGCACGCACACACACTACAGCACACGTCATCATCATCATCTAACTTTAATTCAATTAAAATATATTCTGGAATCTTCTTGATATGTTTTTATTATTGAATCGATAACATGATTCGACTCTGAGTGCCGTGCAGCCGAAAGAAACGTACGCCGTACCTGACAAATTCCATGCCGTCTGCCATTGATATCGTCTGTTGTGTTAAAATGTGATGTCCGATTAAAAGTTTCCATTCTCCGGCAATTGGGATTCTGAAATACAATAATATCTAAATAAAAAGCGCGAGCAGAGATGACATTTAAAATAAAATTAGATTTAACATTTTTGATACATACGAGAAATGCACAACACGATTAGCTTTTTCACACAGTAAATGCGAATCAACTTCATTAACAAACTAGGCCAAATAATTTACAGTCGTGCGTGGTTAATAATATTAAACATGTGTCATCTGTAATCCAAAACGAGATAGACATAGTCACCACTTCGTGTGAGTTTAGTCCCAATGATAATTTTTGATGCACGCACTAATGTTACACATACAAATATGGGTATTAAATAAAAAAAGAAACACTTAATTAATACATTCAATATAAGGCATCGTATGGAGTACTTTTCTCGTAACTTATTAAACAGTTTCCCGTCTTACCCTTTATGATAAATTATAACAGATCGAAAATTACTTTACCTCGTTAGAACATCCATCTGCGGTCGGCTTGAGCGTAGATATCATGTTACCTTGATCGTCTAAATTTCCCGATTCCTTGGTGCATATCATGTACTTCTCGATGATAGCTTGTAAATCTGGGAAGTCGGCGTACAACTCCTTGCATTTTGCCTTATTTAAAATTTGGGTAGCTGCATAATGAGCCTCCTTTTGAAGATAACTTTGGTTATCACCGGGCTACAAATAGATATCGTCATAAATTAAAAAACACATAGTACCAAAATAATTTCATAAGTTTGAATCTAAATTCCAATGAATGAATATCAAATACTGACGGTCGTTGGTTTGTTTGCAATTTTAATTCTTTCTTCAAAAATTCTTATTGCTTACGAGTAATCAGCACAATACTCGTATATATAGAAATGAATGAATATTATTTTAATACTAATTTATTGACTGCCGTGAAATAAATATTGCCGCAAGAGGAACGTGTAATGACGCAAGCTCAAAGGCAAATTATAATCATGAAGACATCGAGTCAAACTTTTTTATGGAAAAAGAGAGCAGGCAAACCAAATGATAAGTGTTAACTACCGCCCAAGGATACTCGCAATACTAGAGGAGTGACAAATGCGTTGCTATCCTTAGGAAGGAAAAGGATCTCTTCTCGCGATTATATGTGGGACAAGGTGGGATTTTTTTCCCAGATTAGAATTTCTTCAACACCATTCAATAATGCTAGTAAGGTTTCAAAGCAGGATGTAGATTACAAGACTAATAATTTTTAGATAGATTGTGGTACCGTTGCTAAACAACTAATGTACTTACTTGCCTCCACCTTTCTAGATGACCCCATCCCATAACTATGGCATCGACACCAGGTAATTGGTATTTGGGCTCGTAATTAATCATTATAGGCTCTGGGGCGTACGAACATTTTTCTTCATAACTAGAAGGGTTTAAATAAGGACTGTCTACTTTTGCCAAAGCTATGTCTATAGCCGACCACTTTCCAACTGCAGCGTAGTCAAAGTCATATGCTATAAAAAGTATAAAGATATTTATTTTTTTATTTTATAAAAATATTCATATGAAGTAGTATGAATTGTGTATTACGGAACTGCTATTAAATTATCTTGTTACGAAAAAGACACCAGCTAAACAATCACGACCAAATTCGTTACGACTCCCACGATTGGCTATAGTCACATTAATTTTTTTAAAAAGAAGTTCTTTTCTCGCTCAAAGGTTAAACATAACTATTCAGCGAGGAAATGCAGCTAGCGTTCTTACCACCATGCCGCGCGGCTTAGGTTTATTAGATAATATGTAATTGTCGATTCTTGTAAATATTAGATCAATAAAGATTGTACATGCTTTTCGAAAAAAGTAAGAAAACTATTTTCGCCGCTGTGGGAATCGAACCCACTTCAGAATTCACGCCCTGGCCCCTAATCTTCAGTGCAGAAAATAGCACTACAAAAATTTAGTTATAACGCCATGCATTTCATTCATAAAACAAATACCTTCTAAAGATTTCAGATCTCTATTAGTTTTTTGCGTCTTTTGAAGTTTTAACGAGTTCAATCATAGTAATATAAATTACACATCACTACACCTTTCGGTAAGGGTCTGTAATTAAAAGCAATAAGACATAAAATCAAAAGTGAAAATTAAATACCCACCTTTAGGCACACATGTGTACACGACTTTCTTCTTCAATTCTTTCGTGCAGCCGTTAGATTCGAGGTCTTCGGTCTGCACGTGCGTTTTGTACCCCGCGATCGCGTACAGGTAATGCACGTCCTCGACACAAGCGGCCGCTGTGATTATAAACTGTGGAGTGACAAGCGCCCCACCGCAAGTCCAGCCGCTGTATGCCTTCTGAGATTTTTCCGACTTGACGAAATAGACCTGTTAAATGGTCGATACGATTATATGAGATGACTTCGTGGTATAACGGTCGCATGGTTGATAGATACAAGAATAATGTCAGTTAACTGGTTTCCAAATACGTATTTCAAAATAGAAAACACGAAAACGAAGGCAAATGGTATTAATTTCCATTACCACTGTTTGAGTTTCGAGCTAACAAAAAACTTTATTCGATAGAGAAAAATTACTAATGAAATAATCAACACGCAGAATTATCTGCACACTCACAGTTTTCGAGATAAAAATTATTTAAAACTTGTTATTTTCACTACGAAAGTCTGCCATTTTACTAAGTGGACTTAACAAAATAAACTCAATATACAGTACTGCCAATATGATAAATATAGGAAGCGGGCGATGTCATACTCGTATCGATTATAAAACAATTTATTAATAGAAATTTAAAAAATTTAGTACGTACAGCCAACATGATAAATATAGGTAGCGAGTGACGTCATACTCGTATCGATTGTAAAATCGAAAATCATCTCATTTTTTTAAAAATAATGAGATGATCCGACACAGAGCACCCCGACTCCATGTGGTCTTGTGGTCCCTAACCCTAGAGTGAACATAAAAAGGCGGAGCCAGCACCTCGCGCCGGAGGTCCTGTCCGGTCCGTAGCGGAGCGAAGGCCGAGTGGGTGAAGCGACACTCAGGGGCGACATAGCGAGTGTTCTGGCGAAGCACGTGGAAGACTCAAATTTAATAATGAAATAATAATTATTATTTCATTATTAAATTTGACGTAATAATTTGATATAATAATTATTATTTCGTTATTAAATTTGACTCTCCAGCGGCCAGAAATATGAATATTTTTTTACATTAAACAAAAAATTAAAATTTATGAAAGGTGAACATTTCGTATGTGAAAAGAAAAATCTTCGTAATTCGTTATTTAAAACAAAAGAAAAATTCCTTATTAAACTTAATCAGGCTTCTTGATATATAAAAATGTGCAATTACGAAAAAACCTATCAATTCGTGTTAAATAGACTTGAAATTAATTTATACTACTGATTAAAAAGATTTTATAAAATTTGTAATCGAGTTCCGAAATCGATATTAGCATATTGCCTGTATTGATATTTGAGTACCGAATCATATATTAAATTTAAAAAGATAAGTATTTCCCGCTCTTTTCAATTTCCTATTTAATATTCGTATTTGTAATGGTGGATAATATGTGCGCGTCTACTAGCACTAGTGAATTGTGTACGTATTGTAATTTATATTTTATTTCTTTTTATAAAATTTTATTAGAATCTCAATCAGATCGTTCAGTACTTTTCAATTTTTTTGTGTAGTCGTGGTGTTCTTGTAAAAAGTTTTATTTGTTTAAAGTGTGGACAAGTGTTTAAAGTGTTTTTGATTTAATATGAAAGTTTTTAAATGTTACAATAATTAAACCAAAGACGAAGAGGCGTCAGTGTTTTTTATTAATGCGATATTACCATTTGGAAAAGTGTGCGACTTCAAATATGTATGTATTTTTAACAAAAAATCTTTTAGTAGCTTTATATCTAACATGTTGTCAATAACAAAATGGAGGACTTTCTTAGTGAAAATAACGAGTTTTAAATTTTTTTTTTCTCGAAAACTATGCGCAGCCAGATAATTCTTCTTGTTGTTTATTTCATTAGTGATTTTACTTTATCAAATAATTTTTTTTTTTGCACCTGGTAAATGGTGGTAATGGAAAATCTTACCAAAATGACAATAGAACATTCGGGTATTTCGATAACTGCAGATGTCATTAAGACAATTTACTAGACGAAGACAGGTTACCAGTGAATTTGAAGGCGGTTTGCGGCGAAAATTAATATTCCTCTACGTTCGTTCATCAATGTTGAACAAAAAGGTTGAGACTGATATTACATCAACAAAAATAATCACATGTTGCAAGTGGAAAAGAGGATCGTTAGAAATCAGTGCCAATGGAAGTTGGAATATACAAAAAGGCAAACTCAAAAATACTAAAAAGTAGACATCAGGTCAATCTTCTCATAGTTTTGTGACTTGTCAATCACTTTCCACAAACCTTCCACTCATTAACTGGTTACCCTCTCTCTACCAATTACAAAAACTAGTTTTACTTTTTGATAAAAATTATAATAATATATAACTCGGCCAGAATTAACTCTCGTATAGTTTTAAAATTAAATAATAAAAATAGGATGTGTAAATGTTCTATTCTCAAAAAGGTTCAACAACATGTATAGGTAGCTACATTTAATCTTTAAATCTATGCAAAGTAAATAAAGTAATATCTACTTTGTGTCAATTATCTTCCGATTTTTAAGCTACTAGATAAATTTTATCTTTTTTATCGGCAAAAAAAACCTTTATTTCACTTTAATTTGTGTTAAAATTAAAATATGGATACCAAATATTTTTTGTTTGTCTTCAATGTGGTGCCATTGTGAATTCTTCTCTCACAACGCAAGGCTGTAAATTAACAAAAATGTAGGTTGAGTAATAATGTTAAAATTATTCAAGACATAAATTGCTATCCTAGTGTTCGAACTTTAAAAAATTGTAAGCTGAGGTTTGGTGAATTCTTTGACATGCTAGGTGGACAAATTTAAAAAGGTATTGGGATTTTATGCACCCAACTACCACCGAATTCTAATTGACCTTGTGAACAAAAGAGCATTTTTTTGTTTCCATTAATTTTAAAAATTGTTATAAGCATCAAAAATTTGAACATGAATTTTAGAGCCTTGTAGCATTTTCTGCTGAGATGGATAGAGACTTTACTGTGATCCCTGGGGATAGAGATACAGCCCTGGTTTCGGATGCAAGTGAGATATTCTAGCGGCCCTTAGGGTACTTTGTTCAGGATTGGGGTAGCTTCATAGCTGAAGTAAATAACTGGCTGTAACATGGGTGTCTTTATGTAGATTATGTACTGTAGAAAGCTTAGGTTCATGGGGTCTCAGCACATCAAAATTTTTCACAATTTTGACCGGTTCTTTTATTTGATTAGTTGTGATTTAGTTTAGTATTACCTTTAATTACCAATCTTGACCTAAAACATTTTTTTTTCGAATCTTATTACATCTAAGTACCGAGACACAATGAAGGGTTACCTTACCACATAAAAAAGTTCCATATTTATTATTCCATGTATATTATTTTATTCTATTAACTACTCGCTTATTAAAACGGGCTGTTAATGGTGAACGTATTTATGAGTCCCACCATCATCTCAAAACTAACTATTCAGATCAGTCATTGCATAAGTTTCGCGTAAGGAGGCAAAAACGCCTATTAAATTAAACGAAAAATGAGTCTACAGTACCGTTTAAAGAAGACAGACGATAAATTCTAATTTCATCATAATAAGACTTACATTTAAACACAAGAAGAAACACGATCACATGAGTTATACGGAAAAAAATCATCCCGTCGAATATTTACGTTCTACTACCATTGATAAGGGCTGCATTACGGCTGCTGTTTCATTTTACGCTCCGCTGAAGAAATAAATGACGGAATGTTTAATTTGTATCGTTCGTTAAATTACAATATAGATATGAAAACTGCTGTATAACTCGTACCTTGTTCTTTTTGACTTTTTACAACAAATCGAACGCTGAGATTGTTATTTGAATGACGGTAATTAGCATCGGGTAAGAGAAATTATTTTCTGATTATTTATTTTATATATAGTAAACTTAGGAGGCTTGACTGATGGAAAATTTGAAAATCGAGTTTCAGGTTTCAAAATTGATCTGCTAGCTTCGTCAAGCTAGCTACGTAAAACACGACGTCAAATGTAGACGTCAATGTTATTACTTTACCCTTTATACCTAGCAATTAAATACAATGTGTTGTATTTAAAATTGAAAAAAGACTTGAAAAGTTTAATAATATCTTATGAAATTATTGAACTGATTTCTAAAGAGTAAATGTAAAACAATGTAGTCAAAGCATCAGTAGTCTTATTATTTCAGCCGGCCAAATTATGCGGCCTTTATGTATCCCTTCATGTACCCTTTATAACGACCCTCGCTCTGAGAAGATAATACCGCTGACTTAGCTAGCCGACGGAGCGTCCACCTTCTCACAAGATCTCGCATTACATATTAATATACAGCACTGTTATATATGCAATATATAACAGTGCTGTATATTAATATGTAATGTATGTATACAATTTTATACTATGTAGTGATTAATAAATGGTATGGGAGTTAAATTATTGAGGTTGCCTATAAAAACTGTAGCGGAGCTGCGCTGAAGGGGAATCGATGATCGGCCGTTCAAGCGTAAACGTGATTAGTTATTTCCGACATTTTGTTTAATTATTTTTCTCTCACTAAGTAAATAATATTGTGACCAGGGATTTTTTTTACTTTTGTTTTATATATTTTCTATAAAAAATCAATTCCTTACGTATATTCTAGAATATACATTATTGAATAATTACACTGAATAGACTGAATACATAAATAAAATATTACAAATATAATCATTCTAGAATTACACTCAATCAAACATCTGATTATATTTTACATTTAGGTAAGACATGAGAAAATGTCGACCGAAGTATTACGTGCATTGAATGCCTCTGGCCATTTTCATTAACTTAGCATTACTGCGGATTCAGTCATTCAGGGTCCAGTCTTAAATGAAACCATTCAACAATATTTCGGTCAGAGTTCGTTTCTCATATTTATTACATGCAATGGATTAACATTTTTAATAAAACTAAACACTTATTAAACGTGGTATATTAGTTCCCTTTTTTTTAGGTTTCGCCTGTGTATTTTATCTACTTTTTGGGCTGGATGAGCCACTCTTGGCCTTAGGGGCTTTTACAGTTCCGACGGACTTGAGGTGGCCGGGCGCTCGAGGCGCCTAGCCTGAACCTCGCGTATTTATTATTACGCGTTATGGTGACTATGCTCGAGGGCTCCCGAAGGAACCTCGGCTCGGGCCGTCACGCTATTTAATTCATCGGTTTGGGAGGCCGCCTAGCTCTTAGGGCGCTTTGGCGGGGGCTCCATGGAGTGATCAGGCTCAAGGGTCCCCGAGAGGGGACCTCGGCTTGGGCTGTCACTCAACACGCGTTTAGCATTCCGATTCGAGGGTGCCCGAGAGGGCCGGACCTCGGCTCGATCGGTAGCTGTTATCTGACTGGGGGGATCTCTAGAGCTATCGTTACTACCACTTCGTAAAGCGTTGGCGCTGGGAGAAGAAGTGGCGGAAGAAACTCCAGCAACGCTTCTATCTTGAACTGGGGAGAACCTGCCAGGTACGTGGCGGAACCTAGTATATGTTTGCCGCACTCGCCGGTGAGTGCGGTTTGTGTTGGTGTGTTTGCGAAGTTTTTTTAATCCTTTCGATGGCGATAGTCGTCTCATCGTCAGGGAAATCGAGAACGTGTCGCGGTCTACGGTGATTGCGGCGGAACGTACCTAGCGGCAGGGGTCTGTAGGTGGCGGCACCTACGATTAGCGGGTTGGGATGCGCGGCGGCGGAATCGAAGTATTGGCGCGACGCCGACTTCAGGAATTGAGCGATGGTGGGCAACTCTAAATCGACATGAAGGTCGATATTGCGCATGTACCAGGGTGCTCCCGTGGCTCTGCGCAAAAATCGATTTTGGATGACCTGAAGCCAGTGTATTTGCTTCGGAGCAATGTGTGCGAAAACTGGACTCGCGTACGTCATGATAGGGCGAACTACTGCCTTATATAGAGTCACCTTGTTCCGAAGGGACATTTTAGACGTTTTGTTGAGGAGCGGATGGAGGCGACCGAGTACGAAGGCCGCCCGGTTCTTGACCCGAGTCACGTGTTGGTTGAATCTAAGTTGACTCCCGTCAAGGACGACACCTAAATATTTAACTTTGTTCACCCATGGTACCGGACTATCCATGAGTTTAACGGGGGGTGGTTTATCTACGTTTTTATGCGAAAAAAGGACGGCCGCGCTCTTGGCGGGATTGATTTCGATCCTCCATTGCCGAAACCAGTCACCGATGTTGATGGCTGCAGCTTGGAGGCGTCGATGGATAATTTCGGATGTTCTGCCTGCTGTATAGAGACAGGTGTCGTCGGCAAATAGGGCAAGTTCTACATTTTTGACTCGCGGCATGTCATTGGTGTAGAGCGTAAAAAGGACTGGGCCCAACACCGACCCTTGAGGCACCCCGGCTCGAACAGGATGCGTTGTCGAGCATACGCCTTCGACGCGATAGCGAAAGGTCCGATTACTTAGGAAGTCTCGTATTATGCATACGAGACGATCGGGCACTCCGAACCCGTATAACTTGTATACGAGCCCGTTGTGCCAGACTTTATCGAAGGCCTTTGCCACGTCCAAGAAGAGTGCTCCGGTGTTGAGTCCGCGTTGGCGTTTGACTAGTATGTGCTCCGTGATGCGGTGCACTTGATGGGTACAAGAATGTTTGGCTCTAAAGCTGTTCAGGGATGGGGAGCCCTTTGGCGTCCATAAGGGATCTTAGTCGGGCTAATATTAGTCTTTCAAAGATCTTCCCAAATGTTTTGAGAAGACTTATTGGACGATAAGAGGTTGGGAGGGTCGCGGGTTTGTGAGGTTTGAGGAACCCTATTACGTCAGCTTCTTTCCACTCGGACGGGAAGAAGCCTTCGGTTATAGCCGCGTTGTAAATTAAGACTAGTATCTGAAGGATGCTAGTAGGGAGAAGTTTGGTCACCTTATTGGTGATACCATCTGAGCCAGGCGCTTTGCGTGGGCGCAGTTTGTTAATTGTTTCTGCGAGTTCCGAGCACGTGACCGGGGGAACGGGATCGCGGAGTGGTTCCGATGCTTTCCTTTCGACCTCTTCGTTCACCTTACGGAGGTGATCGGGGTGGATCGGAAGCAAGCTGGGGGAGCATTGGGCCTCTAGACTGTCAGCTAGGCATTCGGCTTTCTCTTCGTCCAGCATTGCTGGCGTTCCTATCGGGCGAACTAGTGGTGGCATGTTTGGAGTGGCAATACCCTTGAGGGATTTGGGAAGTTTCCAGAAGGCTTGGTGGGACGGTTTTATTGAGACAAGGGTGGAGTCCCACCGTTCGTTTCGTGAGTCTGCTATACGTGTTTTGACTTCACGTTGCAATTTACATAGCAGTGTACGATTCGCGTCGGTGGGATATCTATCGTAGGCGCGTGTGGCCGCATTCTTGCGCCTCAGTAAGTCTTGTACATCGTCTGGCAGGGCCCAGCGATGGTCGTCCATCGCTGGAACCTGTCTCGAGCATTGCTCGACGACGGTGTTGACGTGACTCGTGAGGGCCCGAATTGCGGTCTCCGTGTCCTGTTTGTTGTTGAGTTGGTCGGGGATCGACTCTAATATTGAATTGGGCTCATTAAGTTTAGTTTTGACTCTATGCCAGCTAATGACTGTTTTGGTTTGGGGGGCGGCTATTGCTGAGGGCCCTAACCGAAGGAGGACTGGTCGGTGATCAGAGTGAAGCTCGTGAATCACTTCCGGGTCGCGCATGGTTAGATTGATGTTTTTGGCGACTGCAATATCAAGCACATCCGATGATTGTCCCTCTATATAAGGGAAGTGCGTATGTTCGACTGGGGCTACAACTTCAAAGTCGAGCCTGTCGGATAGCGAGTCGAGTGCGGTGCCTCGACTGTTGGTGCGTGTCGAGTTCCATCGGATATGCTTGCTGTTGAAGTCGCCAGCTAATATGGTGGCTCCTCCTATGGAGAAGAGGGCCTCAAAATCGGATTACAATATAGTTGCGGTTGGTCTGCAAGGGAGATAGACTGATACTAGAGTGATGGGAGAGTGGCCAGTTAGTGCCAGCTGACAGACGGAGGCCTCGAGATGCGTGAGAGCGGGCGTCTCTACCGGTACGCAGTGGAGGGATTTTTTATAGTAAATTAGTGTGCCGCCGCCCGGGGCGCCGGCACGGTCGTTTCTAACTATCCGGTAGTTGGGGATGTGCGGATCCCTTGTCGCAGGTTTCAGGAACGTTTCCTGTATTAATAATACGTCGATTTGGTGATCGCGCAGAAAAATACGTAATTCGTCGCGTTGTTCTTTGAGCCCGTTCGCGTTGTAGAAAGTTACGTTGATCGATCGCGGTTTGACTCTGCCATTATTACGCGTGGCAGAGGGACTGATATTTTCGTTGTTATTGCTTCTAGTTGTACTATCCATGTTCGGTTTAAACTGAAAGCGCAGAAACTATGTGCTGGTACTGGTCTAGAAGGAGTAATCGCGAGCTGAAGTTGCCTTTGGCATACTGCTCGGCAAAGTACATTACCTCCGCCATGTCGACGGTTCGGAGGAGTTGACTTAGTGAGTCCAGGGGGTTGCCCCCGGCCGCTTTTGGTGGTGTTGGGATGAGCGCCGGTTGAGGGGCAGCTTTGGGTTCCGCGAGTGACGGATTCGGTTTGGCCCAAGCGGGGG